CACGAAGATCACGTGACTTTGGTGAAATGTGGGAAGCTGTCCTCAGGGAGCTGCAGTTAGAGCCAGTCAATCAACCTGAGGATTGTTCCTGAGAGGCAGAGTGTAAACTAAATATAGTCTAGCAAAAGATGGCCAAGGAAAGACACAGACACTGAATAAAATTAGGAGGGCAGATACAGTTAATATGAATGCCTCAATTTTGTCACCACTCTCGCCCAACTTAACTAAAAGGGAAGATGGGATCATATATATAGATTAAACAGACTTCCTCAATTCAGTAACCACACCTCAGATTCAACTTCTCATTACCTGGCCTTGAGGGTCAGGAGTAACCACACCTTAGCCAGGTCTGTTGTTATTTAAAATAAAATAGCCAATACCAGAATCATACATCCTACTGAGCCAAGCCTTTGGCCTTTAGGTCTTATGAATTTTTGAGGGCAGTTTTGGACTCTCTGCCATTGAGGCAAGATGGAGTGCATCCATTTTTATAGGCACCAAGAGTACAACATGTTTCTCTCATTTTTCTGCCTTTTGATATGGTAATTGTGAGTAAAGGGAGGATGTGGGGACTCAACTCTTGGCCCAACAGACATCTAAACTGCTTATCTGAATTTATTTATTTTTCATTCTTGTGATGACACCATGGCTGGTCTGGATCTTCTATTTTACAGTCACAGCTTTTGGTGTTGCTGGGATTGATGGGTGATGGTGACAGGTACCCCACTACCCAATTGTAAATTGAATTTGTAGAGAAGGATGATACTCACTATAAACTTGTTAGGGTTAGGGACTTTTTTTGCAACATTTATCTGTTTTCCCTATATATTAGTGTAAATGTATCCTAGTGATTTTCTAGCTATTCAAAGTTGCCCTTTCAAGTTTTTTGTTTGAGTTTGGCCAAAAATATTGCCCAAATTGAAATATTTTAAAAACCTTTTAGGTTATGACTTGCTAAGCTCGTGACTAAGTGTAGATAGCAAAGATGATAAGGTTTTAACTTGCTCTGTTTGGTGTGTAGATTTTGTGTACATGTCAGCTCCTTGCTTCATTAAACAAGATTTCATGTCATGCACACTCATCGTGAGCTCTTGTTGTACCACAAGAGAACCCTGCAGTCTTGATTATCCTGCATCTACCTCTAAGTGCTGTGTGACAAGTGTGCCACTGTGCTTGTCATTTTGTTGTTTTTTTGAGACAGAGTCTTACTATGTTGACCAGACTGACCTCAAACGCTGGCACCTCTAAGCAGAGTTACAGACCATTCAATCTTGACATATGTTACACCCTCAAACAGGTACTTGTGATTTTTCCTTTTACATAAAGGGTACTCTCTAAGTTTAAATCCCTGTCATGCAGTGCCAAGCACAGAGAACAAGAGAGATGTTGAAAAGAACTGAGAAGGTGATGGATCCCATTGGGTCATTTACTTTGTGTGTGAATTTAAACAAAAGAGGACATTAAGTAAAATAAAGTGAGCTGGGTGGTGTGGTGGTGGTGGTGGTGGTGTACCAAGTTCCAGGACAGGCTCCAAAGCTACAGAGAAACTCTGTCTCCAAAAAATGAAGGAAGGAACAAATGATGAGAGAAAGAAAGAGAAATAATGAAACAACCCATTTCAGAAGCCTGGTATTACCTGTGCGCTATAATTTAAAAAAGAGAGATACTATGATAATAGAATATTAGCCAGAATATTCTCCACTTTTACTATGCTTGAAGATTGTAGTTTTTATTTGACGACACATGTTCACTCTAGTACTGTTGCCTGTACAGCTTTGATCACGAAGGCATGTTGAATTTTTTTGTTTGTTTGGTTTTTTTTTTTTTTTTTGGTATGGTTGTCTGTTTTCAAGACAGTTTGTACTTTTTTGTTTTTGTTGTTTTGTTTGATTTTTGAATCAGGGTTTCTTTGAGACTTTGGAGATTCTCCTGGAAGTAGGTCTGGTAGTCCAGGCTGGCCTCAAACTCAGAGTTCTGTCTACCTCTGCCTTCCAAATGCTGGGATTAAAGACATCAGAAATTTATTTATTTATTTATTTTTGCTGTTTGTCTAGAAGTTTTCTCTGTGTAACAATTCTAGCTGTCCTAGAGCTCATTTTGTAGACCAGGCTGGCCTCAAACTATCCAAGGTCAGCCTACCTCTGCTTTTAAAGTGCTGGGAATAAAGGTGTGCCCTACTATTTCTGTGCTAGCTTGTTGGATTCCATCAAAGACTTTTCTATATTCCGTATTTCATCTTGGATTGTCATTATTTGTGTGTAAGTGGGTACAAGTGTGATTTGCTTGTATTTCTCTTAATTTTGTGGGGCACAGGGTTTCTCTATGTAACAGACCTAGCTGTCCTGGAAATTGCTTTGTAGTCCAGGCTGGTGTTGGACTCAGAAATCCCCCTGCCTCTGTCTCCTACGTGAGTGCTGGGACTAAAGGACAGTACCATCACTACCTGGTGGCTTTTGTAATTCTTGAATGGTGTACTTTCTAGTGTTTGATCTGCTTATATTTATGATGTTTGAATTATGTACTGATGTCAGTTACATTTGCTCTTAGATCATTTTTAAAGGTAGACAATACAACTATAAATTTCCTCATATGAGTGATTTCACTGTGTGCCAGGAGTGCTTACAAAGTGCTTTCTATTCATTTTACTGAGGGAATCTCTCTCTCATTCTGTCTCTCATTATAGATTTCTGTTTTGTCCCATTCCTTATACCCTTTATGATGAACGATGCTGAGTCTGTTGTCAGCTGTCCCTCTTGCCTCTATCTTGGCAGTGAATTTTTATTGTTTGTTGGCTTGTTTTTGACTTTATTATTTCTTTTGTGTGTGAGTCAGTATTTCACCTGCTTGCTGACCTGCTTGCTTGCATGCATGCTCACAGCTCCACTGTGGAAGGTTTCACATTTACAGTTCAATTTTCTGCAGGAAGATAGATATGTCGGAGTTCCTTTTAACGATTTACTTAGGCCGTGCACCAGTTGAGAAAGAGATTAACTGAGGCTTTCTTCTTAAGCACCCTTACCTTGGGAGTGGGGGATGGTTGTCTGACCTGCTCTAAAACTGAGGTGGTTTTTGGGAGGGGACCCCACACAACTTTTTCATTTTGTCCCTAGCTGTAAAGTGAAAAAGAATATCTGAGGAGACTGGTGGAAGTTCACCTGGTCATCTTTGAGACTCTTATCCAGAGAACATGACTCTTAACTAACTGGAGGGGTGGATGGCTGCATGAACATACAGCAATTTGCACTTACACAAGCATGCAGTATAAAAAGAATCCAACTCTAGTGAGGATTATTGTGGTGGGGAACTGAGAATGACTCCAGAAAGAATAAAAGACTTTCTGGCTGCTTAGCCAACTGCTGGGGACAAAGTAAATTTCTCCTTGGTATTTGTAACACCTCACCTATAGTACTGTTAATAACACCAAGGAAAAATGGATTGTTCGTTCAAATTAGACACTGGAGCAATAGAAACTTTAGTTTATTATAGGTTCCCTTTCCTGAATAAACTGATGTGTGTGTGTGTGTGTGTGTGTGTGTGTGTGTGTGTGTGCAGTTGTCTTTCAATGGAAAGTTGGTCAGTTACCCAACAATGGTTATTCACTGGTGTGATGACTGGGCAAATGTACATTCGATGCTCTGGTTCTTTCTCTCAGGTTCTACTCCTCCTCCTCTTCCACCTGCTTCTTGTTTACAGTTTTTCTGTGTGTAGCTAGTCCTGGAAATTGATCTGTAAACCAGGCGGGCCTCCAACTCAGTGTCACCTTGCCTCCAGAGTGGTGAATTTAAAGACATGTGCCAACATTTCCTGGTCCAAACTGCATGTTTCTTACTCTCCTTCCTTCTTCCCTCCCTCCATCTTTTCCTTCCCTCTCATAATCTCTTTTTCCTTTGTTTTTTCAAGACAGTGTTTCTCTGTATAGCCTTGGCTGTCCTAGAATTCAGGCTGACCTCAAACTCACAGAGATCTTCCTGACACATTCTCATGAGTGCTGTCATTAAAATGGTATATCACCACCACTCAAAAATTTTACCGCTCAAGTCTATGTATGTTAGTTTGTATGTTTGTATGTATGTATGTATGTATGTATGTATACTTACTTATCTATTATATCTGCCCAATCCCAAATCCTCTGGCCCCATACACGATGAAAAATAATTAAAGTTAAAATAATTAACCTATCATTAATGAAGAAAGGCTGCAAAAGGAAGTGAATAAATGCTAATGGAACCTGGCCTGGGCATGGAAGGAAGCTTCAGGTGTGGGTTTGGAAGCTGAGCTAGTCCCTCAGTGTGTGCTGACACAGAAGAAAGCAAGTTCTGGAGGATGTTGGGACTTGGGGCAGCAGCAGAAGAATCCTGGATACTAATTGCAAAGAGAGCCTGTCTTCCTGTCCTTCTTTCTTTCTTTCTTCCTTTCTTTCTTCCTTCCTTCCTTTCTCTCTCTCTCTCTCTCTCTCTCTCTCTCTCTCTCTCTCTCTCTCTCTCCTTTCCTTTTTGTAATAAATGAAATAAAAGGACCTTAATGGCATGCAGCTCCATTGCAGGAACCACAAACACACAGGATTGTACTGCCTCTTGTTCCCACCTCATGCTGCAGGATCATACAGGTGCCCACTCTCTCACCAATGCACACCCACAGATGGGCCCACGAACAATACTAAAGAACCAGGCCCAGAGAGGTTGAGTTTCTAGGTTTTACAGAAAACACATGGTGTGACCTTGTGCCAGCTTCTGGTGAAAGGGTGTACTTGTATATAGAGCACACATGCATCAAAATATTACATGAGATATTTATTATTTTTTTACTTTGGTTTTAGAGACAGGGGTTTCTCTGTAGATTTGGTCCCTGTCCTTGAACTTGCTCTGTAGAGTAGACTGGCTTCAAACTTACAGAGATCCACCTTCCCAGTGCTGCTGGGATTGAAGAACTATGACACAAACACCAGACATCTTCCTTTTTCTTTTCCTTGGTTGGTAAATCCACATTTCTTTTCCCCTTTCTGTCTTACTTAATTCCATCTTGCAGATGTCACTAGCCAAAGGGCACACATGTACACACACTCACACACACACATGCAAGCCCAGAGGCACATGAACAATATTTGAAATTAAATTCCTGTACTAATAATTAACAGAAAAAGTAATTGAAAGCAGGTAGATGAAAACTTTCCCATAGTCACAGACTCTGGATCGTACATATTGAGTTTGCAGTGCACATTGTCATCTCTAAAAGGCAAGAACAGTTTCTTTGTCCCATGGCTAAAGTAACCACACTGAAAGCCAATCGCATAATGAGTTTCCACAGTGTCTATCATCTCTCAAGTAAATCTGTGCTGCCTGGAGAAGATGTCTCATTTTCATGAAAATCCCCCTGTTTACTAAAACTTTTAAATACTATATTGTGAAGGTCTTTGAAAGCTTTCAAGACCACCTATCTACAATATATATCTATATTATCTCATAAATATACCTAATATGTCTATAAATTTGATTGCCATAAATGACTAAACAGTAATATATGTTTTCAGATTATCATAAGTATTTGATAATAGTAGCTTTCAAAAACTAAACTTTGCCTTACACTGTTACTAGGTACTATACCTTAAAGAAGAGCAGAAACATATACACAATGTTTAACAAAAATAAACATAAATTGCTATCAATATGCCAAAATTCTTCAAACAGAGTAGAAACATATGTACAAAGTATTGTAAAAACAAAAATCATTTAAACAAGAGCAAAATCAGACATACAGCATAACAAAATGACTGTAACTTCATATCAATATACCAAAACACATGCCAAGACAGATATGTGAGTTTAATAATTGTTTTTGCTACAAGTCCCAAGATCACACAGTAGTTATAGAGCCATCATTTCTTGAGACAATCCAGCAGAGTCAAGGGCTTTGTATGAATGATTTAAATCAATACAAAGATTGTATTCGGTTTTAGAGTCTTCTTTTTTTTTTTTTTTTTTTGGTTTTTTGAGGCAGGGTTTCTCTGTGGCTTTGGAGGCTGTCCTGGAACTAGCTCTTGTAGACCAGGCTGGCCTCCAACTCACAGAGATCTGCCTGCCTATGCCTCCCAAGTGCTGGTATAAAAAGGCATGTGCCACCAATGCGCGGCTTGGTTTTACAGTCTTAAGAATAAAAGTGGCCATTTCTTGCTGCAAATACTTCTAGTACTTATTACTTTCTGTAACAAACTTGAGATTTACTTCCCACAGTTTAATGCAATCTGATCATTTACGAGGTACAACTTCTCCCATGTATTTGGGGTTTACTAATTACATTCCTTAGCTATGTGTGAAACCTGTTCTCCATTACTAGGTCCTAGTTAGCTGATTACATAGCTTAGATGCCGGTCTCCTACTGGCAGGTCCTTTTCCCAATGTTATGCAACTGGAGAGTCAGTGTTTAGGACCCCAGCAAAAGTGTTCCATCTAAGACTTTCCCAGGTATTAAAGGACATAGAATTATTGCAAAGGCATTAACAGTTTGATTTCATACAAAAACTTTTACTCATGTATAAAGTAAAAACTAGCATTCTGACTACACTTATACAGTTTCTCTACAGAATGATTTTTGAACATGATTACGAAGACTCCTGATACGTGCAAAGGCTTTACCACACTGTTTACATTCATAGGGTTTCACTCCAGTATGTGTTCTTTCATGCTTCTTCAGATCACCACGATATGCAAAGGCTTTACCACACTGTTTACATTCATAGGGTTTCACTCCAGTATGTGTTCTTTCATGCTTCTGCAGATCACCACGATATGCAAAGGCTTTACCACACTGTTTACATTCATAGGGTTTCACTCCAGTATGTATTCTTTCATGCACTTGTAGACTACTGCGGTATGTAAAAGTTTTACCACATTGTTTACATTCAGAGGGTTTCTCTCCAGTATGTGCCCTTTCATGCCTTTGCATATTACTGTGGCATGCAAAGGCTTTACCACAGTAATTACATTCATAGGGTTTCACTCCAGTATGTGTCCTTATATGCGCTTTTAGATGACTGCTGCCTGCAAAGGCTTTACCACAATGAATACATTCAAAGGGTTTCTCTCCAGTATGTGTCCTTTTATGCTTATTTAGATTACCTTGTTGTGCAAAGGATTTACCGCACACATCACATGCATAGGGCTTCACTCCAGTATGTATCCTTTCGTGAACTTTTAAATAATTGTGGTCTGCAAAGGTTTTGCCACACTGATTACATTTACAGGCTTTCTCTCCAGCATGAATTCTTGTATGCCTTTGAAGATGCATGTTATCTGCAAAGGCTTTAATACTTTCAGTATATCCAGAATGTTTCTCTACATTTTGACATCTTTCAGGCCTGCAAGGATGATTGGAATATATTAGCGTTACCACATTCAATATATTGTTGAATCTACATATCTTTGTGTCTTAATTTTGTAGTTTGGCCCAATTGTAAAAAGGAATCCGATCTCATGGTATTATCATTGTGATTACACTCATTTTATTCCCCTTCATTAAGGGTTGTTTGGCATCTTTGCAGATACCTGTGGTGGTACAATTCTTTATTACATGCTCACACTAACACAATCATTTTTCTATGAGATTCTTCACATATTTAAAGAGAACTAGAAAAACAGAGAGCTTTCCAACTGCTAATGCATTCATAAGATTTCCTATCCTGTAAGTCATACTATATTTGCTAAGTGAACTAGGACAAACAGAATTGTTTACACAGTCCTAGTACTCACAGGGCTTTCTGCAGTGGGAGTTCATGTGTTAAAAATGAAGCTGGAAAACCAATTACTTCTACACTTGAATCAAGTTAAATAAGTATACTGAACGTATTGACTGAGACATATCTTCTTATTGTTCTGAGAGGGATAGGTTACATTTTTCCATAACCCTGTACTCATACAAGCTTGTATCCCAAGTAACATATAATATGCTTAGTAAAGGAAGAATAATAAATAAATGGGTTCCATATTGAATTTACAATTTGAATTTCTTTTCCTCATAGACTTGTTGTGTAGGTATTAAGGTTTCCCCACATCTGCCACTTGACTTTTAATTCTAACTGCCCCCTCATTAATGTCGTACAGTCACAAGAAGTACATGAGTAAGACTAGCTTTATTATGACTATTTGCTTATTAGATTGTTTTGGAGATTTACTCTCACCTCTTCAATATGTAACTTTGTAATATGAGTAGTATAAAATAAAGGGATTAAAAGTTCTATATCATAGCTCTCATGCTGTTATGATTCACATGATCATATTTCTTAAGGCATTGTTTCCTTTTCTTCTTTCTTAAAAGGATTCCATGAAAACCTAATTTACTTACCTGAAATTGAGGTATATGCTTCTGAGATTTAATAATCACAAATATACTTTAAGCTGTTGTTTTGTTTAAAACTTCCTGGATGCATTACATTATCTTCCAGGCCATATTTGTGTCAACTAGCACACAAAAATTACCTTTCATATATTCCAGGATTTTGATAGTATTCTTCAATATGATGGTCTTCCCAACTGTATCCTAAAGTGTATTACAGGTAAATGTATGTTATATTATTGAAAATTGTGCAAATTTAAGATACCATCTTCAGTGAACCTTAGATCCATGCCCAATTTATTCCCCTCATTCTTCCTCTTTCTTAACCAAATTTCAGAAGAGCATCAACAACTAAGAAATGGTTGCCCCCTTATTTAAAACATGAAGGAAAATTCAGTCTTACCTATAGTGTTGAGGTTCCAGTAGGTCTCCAGCATCACATCTTTGTAGAGATTCTTCTGAGAAGGATCCAATAAAGTCCATTCTTCCCAAGTGAACTCAATATGCACATCATCATAGGTCACTGCATTCTAAAATATCCCATACATGTGTACAACAGAAAACATGACACAAACAACACTGTAAATGTATACTTCTTTAACAGTACCTTCATATAATTCTGGTATTCCCCACACTTACTTGATTATAGGTACACTGTAATGTAATCACCAAGTCACTTTAGAAGGAAACTGAATAATATATTCGCCTGTCATTTCTGTACACTTTTAATTGAATATCACCTTAACAATCATAGAGAGACAAGTAAACATATCAACAGTACAGAATACAAATGAGACAAATTGACTAAGAACTTACTGTCAGAGAATAGCTGGCAGGCTGAGCTAATAAATAGGAAGAGATATCTGGGAGGAAAACAAAGGAAGGAGGAGCCAGACTAGGAAAGGACAACAGGGAACAGACACCCAGATGCACAGTAGAGTAAGAAGTAAAAAAAGGTACAGTGTAGAGAAAGATAAAAGCCCAGAGGTGAAAAAGTATATGGGATAATTTAATTTAATAAAGAAACAAGCCAATCTACGGCTGGGAAAGAATCGCCTCCAATGAGTGATTTCTTTGAGAGCTGGGTGGCAGGCTCCCAAAAGAGTAAAAGGGTTAAAAATCAAACCACAACCTCACAGCTTCATGAAATGCACTCTCACAGCCTCCTCACTGGGTTTCTGTGGCTGCAAACATAGAAGCATGCAGCAATGTAGCAATAGACTAAATATTCATTATCTCAAATTTTGAAACCCTGTCTCTAAAAGCAAACAAACAAAAAGGGACAAATTAGGAATGATCAATGGCTGAATTTTAATGACTGTCAAAGATGGCTAGGAGACATTTTCTTGTCTGTGGTCCATAATTGGTTTATAGTGTTAGGAACCATGTAATTTGGGTGAAATCTTAGAGAGTGAAAAATAATTAAATAGTATCAGGAAATTATAAGCTGAAGCCAAGAAAGAATTGGCTTTGGTGTATAAAAGAAGGTGCAGGATGCACATGTAAATCATTTGGGTCCAAAGCTTGATTGCATTTTGGTCATGTTAACCTCTAAGTATTCTTCTAAGTAAGACTAATAAAGAGCAGATATCATCTTAGAATGGATCTTATTAACACATAAATAGAGGAAAAACAAAAACTTATGTGAAAAAGTCTGAACACATTCGAAGAATGAAAATTGTGACCTCATCAATTAACAGGAATAGACCAGGCAGAAATAGTAGTACCTTTTACTAGTGATGAAACTGACAAAATATGGACAGAGAGTGAACCTTGCAAAGGAGATGTGGGAGAGAGAAACAACAAATACCTCCAAAGAAAGAGCATTCAATTAATAGAGAACTAACTGGATCCTTCCTCACATTTCATGGGGAACATCCATATTTGGAATCCCTACATTCTATACAGATGCACATTGTGGGGACACCAGACCTTGAGCAGAAACCCACTTCCCCTTTGGCCTGGGTGCAGGCAGCTGTGTAATGTTTACTGAAAACAATTCAGTGCTAAAGCTCTTGATGGGGCTCAGATAAGGGCTTGCTCACTGAAATACCATGCCTTTCACACCCCCTACAGCTAGATGCCTCTTCCTGTCCCCCCTGTGGTGTCTCCCTGAATCTGGGGCCTGAGATTAAACCAACAGCCAGGAGGGTGAGAAGTCTGGAAAGAATGGTATGTAGATGAATGGCAGAAGTCCTTAAAAAGGGAAGCTCCTTTTTCTTGGGGAGACTTCTCCTGACAGCTCTCTCCTAAGCGGACTGGGGTTTCCTCCTAAGCTGACGTGGGAAGCATAAAGTTTTCTTAAAGGAACCGACTGGTCTCTGTGTCATCTATTCCAACCACCTCACTACATACTCGGATGCAGGCCGCACAGCAGGTGCGACAGCACATGAATCAGGAAAGCAGGATATAAATCAGAAAATTAAAACCCTTCTGATTCTGTCCAAAAGTCAGAATTATATGCTATTCTTGTGGTATTAATGAGTTTTACTGAACCTCTCAACAGTTACTGAATTGTAATATGCAGAAAGAGATGTTTTGGATATTGAAACTACTGAATATATATCAGATGATACAGAGTTGATGCTATTGTTTCTTGACTTACAAGACAGAATCAGGAATGGTTACCATTCAGATCTGCCAGGCCGTCTGGCACAAGGTAACAATGAAATTGATCCAGTAAATGTTCTGGAGGCCTCCAAATTTTTTTTTTTTGGTTTTTCGAGACAGGGTTTCTCTGTGGCTTTGGAGGCTGTCCTGGAACTTGCTTGGTAGTCCAGGCTGGTCTCGAAATCACAGTGATCCGCCTGCCTCTGCCTCCCGAGTGCTGGGATTAAAGGCGTGCACCACCAAAGCCCAGCCCTCAAAATTTTATTTAAGTATATCATTACAATAGCAAAGCTTTGAAAAAAGACTTTTCCATCACTTGGAAAGATGCCAAAGAAATTATAATGAAATGCCATATTTGTTTATACAACCAAACTCTACTACATGCAGGAAGTTACCCAAAGGATACTCAAAGGAACAAAATTTAGCAGATGGAAATGTTTCATTTTGTTAAATTTGTAAAATAAAAAAATGTATACCACACTAGTGATACCTATTCAGGTTTTCAAAGTGCTACTGCTTTAAGTTCTTAAAAGATTGATTCTATAATCACACATCTATAGGAAAACCTACACCCAATGAAGATAACTACACTCACAAAGATACAGGCAACAGATAATCCTGCTTTACTAAACACCAAAAGAAAAAGGGAGGAGAACCTACACACAATAACTCCATTACAAATAAATGAAGCACAAACTACAATCATCAATCAATGGTCATTAATATCCCTCAATGTCAATGGTCTCAACTTCCCTATAAAAAGACACAGACTAGCAGAATAGATATGAAGACAGAACTCATCCTACTGCTGCATACAAGACACACATCTCAATGTCACAGACAGAACTTACCTCCGAGTAAAGTGTTGGAAAAGATTTTCCAATCAAACGGACCCAAGAAACAAACATGTGTAGCAATACTAATATCTAACAAACTAGACTAAAAATTAAAATCAATCAAAAGAGATGAAGAAGGACATTTCATATTCACCAAAGGAAATATCCATTAAGTTGAAGTCTCAACTTTTAACATCTATGCACCAAATACAAAGGCACCCACATTGGTGAAAGAAATATTACTAAAGCTCAAAACGCACATAAAATCTCACACACTAGTAGAAGGAAGCTTCAACACTCTGCTCTTACCACTAGAAAGGACGTTCAGACAGAAACTAAACAAAGAATCAAAAGATCTAATAAAAGTTATGACACAACTGGTTTTACCAAACATCTATAGAAAATTCCACCCAAACACAAAGGGATATAACTTCTTCTCAGTGCCACATGGAACCTTCTCTATAATTCTACACATAATAGGAAAAATAGCAAACCTACACAGATACAAAAGATTGGAATAACCCACTGTATCTTACCAGACCACCATACATTAAAATTAGAATTCAACAATAAAACAAATCACAGAAACCCTACAAACTGATGGAAATTGGGCAATGCACAATTGCACCATCCGTGGGTAAATTAAGAAATTAAAGACTTCCTGGAATTCAATGAGAATGAAAACACAATATATGGGACACTCTGAAAGCAGAGCTGCGAGAAAACTTCATAGCACTAAGTTCCCACATGAACAAACTGGAGAATAGTCACACTAGAGAATTAATAGAATAGTTGAATGCTCTAGAACAAAAAGAAGCAAACTCACCCAGAAGGAGCAGAGGCCAGGAAATAATCAAATTGAGGGCTGAAATCAATAAAGTAGAAACAAGGAAAACAGTGCAAATAATCAATGAAACAAAGAGTTGGTTCTTTGAGAATCAAAATAGACAGACCTCTGTCCAAACTAACCAAACGACAGAGAGAGAGAGCATGCTAATTAACAAAAGCAGAAATGAAAAGTGGGACATAACAACAGACAATGAACAAATCCATAGAATCATCATTGCATACTTTGGAAATCTGTACTCCACAAAATTAGAAAATGTAAAGGAAATGGACAATTTCCTAGGTAGATATAACTTGCCAAAACTAAATCAAGAACAGATAAACAATCTAAACAGATCTATAACCTTTAATCAAATAGAAGCAGTCAACAAGTCTCTCAACCAATAAAAGGCCAATCCAGAAGGCTCCAGCACAGAATTCTGCCAGAAATTCAAAGAAGATCTATTTCCAATACTCCTCAAAATATTCCACACAAAAGAAGTGAGAGGCTCACTGCCAAACTCTTTTTATGAGACCAATTTCCCTCATGAACATCGATGCAAAAATACTCAACAAAACACTAGCAAATCAGATTCATGAACGCATCAAAAAAATCATCCACCATGATCAAGTTGGCTTCATCCCAGGAATGCAGTGATGGTACAACATTAGAAAATCTAACAATGTAATCCACCATATAAACAAACTGCAAAAGAAAAATAACATGATCATCTCAATAGATGCTGAAAAAGCCTTTGACAAAACCCAACACCACTTCATGATAAAGGTCCTAGAGAGATCGGGGATAACAGGAACATACCTGAACATAATAAAGCAATATACAGTAAACCAACCGCTAACATCAAACTTAATGGAGAGAAACCCAACGCAATCACTCTAAAATCAGGAAAAAGACAAGTCTGTCCACTCTCTCCATATCTCTGCAATATTGTACTTGAAGTTCTAGCTGGAGCAATAACACAATAACAGGAGATCAATGGGATACAAATAGGAAAAGAAGTCAAGCTTTCATTATTTGCAGATGATATGATAGTTTACATAAGTGACCCAGGAAACTCCTAGAACTGGTAAACACCTTCAGCAAAATGGCAAGACACAACATAACTCAAAAAGAGAAAACTCACACTTTACAATAGCCATAAACAACATAAAATATCTGGGGATAATGTTAACCAAAGAAGTGAAAGACCTGTATATCAAAACTTTGAGTCTTTAAAGAAAGAAATAAAAGAGGATACCAGAAAATGGAATGATCTCCCATACTCTTGGACTGGTGAGATCAACATAATAAAAATGGCAATCTTTCCAAAAGCAGAATAGAGATTCAATGCAATCCCTATCTAAATTCCAGCAAAATTCTTCACAGACCTTGAAAGAACAATAATCAGGTCTATATGGAAAAACAAAAGGCCCAGGATAGCCAAAACAACCCTACACAATAAAGGAACTTCAGGAGGCATCAACATACCTGACTTCAAGGTCTAGTGTAGAGCTATAGTCCTGAAAAC